TGGCCTATTTAATACTTTGTTTACATTACACTGAAGTATGAATTAGTTATTTCAATCACAGTGTTCAGCAACATCCAACACTCTTTACGAATATCCACACTTAACACTAAAAAAAATTTAATATTGTTGTTTACTTTTTCGCGGCATTTTCCTTTTTACGGATATCCATATGAAGCCTACATAATATTAGCTTGTCACTTAATAAACTGTTCTCTTCAGTCCCAAGATAGTCTAGTAAGGATTCCAAATGATTAAGAGCAGCACCATGTGATATTTTCTTACTAGCAACACTGTCCATCTCTTCCTCATTCTCCCTTTCTTCCTGCTCTTCTGGCTGCACCCCCACTGAACTTAAGGTTTTGTTACTGCTTAACATTTCAAAGCCCGGCTCACATGAGTTTCTGTTGAATACTTAACACAACATGCTTCCTTTTACACCCTGACATTTTGCTAACGCACTTGAAGATTGATACAAAGAGTCCAACTGGGGCAGTGTATCTGTCCTTGAAACTTTCCACAAATCCTTGCATTCTTTCACCCCTACTCTAGAACATTGTATTAACATAACGGGACCAAACAATGCAGAGCTCGGTTCACACTAGTGCGAAAATAGTGTTACAACTCACCATGTGAAACAAAAGTGAATGAATATTAAACAACATATAAGCCTCAAGAAAGCCCCGGTTAAGCCGCAAACTGGTTTATCCACCCCCGGATAATTGAGAGTTGAGTGTATTAAGTTATTTAGATATCAGGTGAAATAACTAACTCCATGAAGCAGATTCATTTTTAGAAGCTAATAGCCTTGGTAGTCAGTAAATTCACTGTCTATTATGGAACCTGACACATTTTTATTGTATTCACTAGAGCCTCTTTTACCCTATCCTTAGCCAGTTGAATGCAGTCCCCATCCTCACCCTGCTTCCCTAAAATCAGTTTCAGTATTATACTCCTATATATGCCTGTGACTTCTTAAGTGGTCTTTTCATACTTCTTGACAAAAATTTTGGATGAATTTATTATCTTTCTTATGCATAGTACCTAGCCCACTAGCCCCATTGCTGATTTGATCACCTTCGCAATGTTTGGTGGAAAATATAATTTATGAAACTCCCCTGTATGCACTTTTGGGTGGCCTTTTGTTACTTCTTCTATTTCTACACTTTCAGTATTGAGACTGTGGCATCAGATGGTATGTTAGATGAATGGTGAGTTGGAAAGGATTTGAAGGTAGTAAACATGGCTTAACTGAGGTACTATCTCAACATTTGCTTTGAGGGGCAGGGGAAGACCATGAAAAACTTCCTTCAGGATAGCCATTGTCCTAGCCAAAATTTGAACTGAATACAGGTCTAGAGACCAACCTATTCTGTACATTCCCTCTCTTAGATCCAGATATTCTCAGCATCCTTTTCTCACATGCCTTCAATATGTGTGCTTTCATTATGGTGGGGTCCAAATTTTGTATCCATACAAAGAGCAGGTTAAATTATAGTTTAGTATATTTCAATTTATATGTTTCCAGGTAGGACAAGGGAAGCCAGAAGATTCTGAACTGAATTGTAGCAAGCATTTCCCACATCTAATTTTAATTTTTTACTCTTATTTTGAGATATTTGAGCTTTGCCACAGTTTTGAAGGATTGTTAGCTATATGTATATTATGATTTTGTCTTGTGTTGTAATCATGAAGCATGAAGGTAAAATTGGTATTCTATGAGTTCTAGACCAACATCATTACTGCCATCTTATAGAGCTTCTTTGTGTTTCCTTGTGATGCTTATGTTTTAGCCCAGGAAGTTAATGTTACCATCTGCATGGACCAATAGTTGACATATCGATTGAATTCCAGTCGCTCCTAATTCTCTTGTAATTTTCTGATGGTGTATCCCAAAACAAATGTTGAAAAGCAGTAGCAATACATATATAATTTATATTATTTATGGGGCACGCGGTAGCGTAGTTGGTTGAGAGGCTATGCTACAAGCCGGAAGGTTGCAGGTTCAAGTCCCGATGAGGTCATTGGATTTTTTTCATTTGACCTAATCCTTCTAGCTGCACTATGGCCCTGGGGTTCACTCAGCCTCTAACAGAAATGCGTACCAGGAATTAAATAAATTTCCTGGGGAGTAAAGTGTGGCTGGCATGTAAGGCTGACAACCTCACCGCCATCTTTGAGCCGATTGTCTAGATAATGTGGGACCCTCAACACGTCACAACCCTATGGGCCTTCATGGCCTGGTACAGGGATAGCTTTACTCTTTTTTTATATTATTTATACAGTTATTTGCCAAGAAAGTCACATCTGGTAAGGAGTCAGAATTTTGCAGTTTCCCATTGTTGAATTTAGGGAATTGGTATAAGTAAAATTTTCTTTCATCTTGATTTTCTTAATATAAAATATAAATTTGAGGTTTGTTGGAGTTTGCTGAAGTCCTGTATCCTTAAGATCATAACTGATAATATCATTTCATGTGAGTGGACTTCATATTGTCGCATGTATGAGCGACTATTAATGAGTTTTGGATTGGTAATCGGATTTATTTATTCTGCCTTCAGCATCATCATCTGCAATGAGCGCATCTCATTCCTCAATTTAGCACGGCATTTTTATTCCACCTTAACCACCATCTTCAGTGATTCCGTTTTATTCTGGAGGCGAGCATAGCATTCATCTCTCACTTTCATAATCTTCTTCATTGAATACATCTCACTGTGTAACTGTGCACAGTGTTCATCTTCCGCCTTTGTTGTCTTTTCTGTTGAATAGATCTCATTCTATAATTGTATACAGTGTTTACCTTCCATCTCTTGCATGTACACCACCTCTTCTCCCAACTCTAGCATGAAAGTTTCACCATTCTGTATCTGCAACCTCAGCTATGACAACAGCAGTCCTTCTTATAACATCTCGGCATGGACTGCACAGAAAATACAGTTTCTCTGGTGCTGTTTCCATTGTTGCATTTGCGTCTGTTGGGATGCCCATGTGATCGCAACAGCTGTATTTACAGAGCTATTACTTATCAGTGGCTGTTGTATAACTGCTTATCTCATGGTCATTGCTTAGCAACAGTTCTACATGCCACAATATTTTCATTTAACAGTGTTGTTTTTATCTCAAACTGTATAGCATTGAATAATAGTGCTATTAGTTAATAATGAATTAGAAAATATGTGGAAGGAAGCAGTGCTATCCCAGTTTGCCTTGAGAGAGTTAGGAAAACTGGATATCCCCAATAAGGCCCATTTATTATGAAGTGCGTTAAATTCAGTCTAATTAGCTGAGAAGTGGCATAAGAAAGGGTCATGTTTAGTCCAGTTCATAGGATGCTGCCTGAAGGATCAACATTGATTTGTAATTTAAACATTGTGGCCACATTTGAAACCTGTGTCACTTAAACTTTAACTTAGAGCATTTGTAGCCCACACATTGGCATGACAGTTAACACTGAGGACAATATTTTAAGTTCAGTTGCACAGGAGAAACCCATAAGAAAAGAAGGAGTATGTTAAAATATATGTTGTTGCAGTACTGTACTGGTTGGGATTGTGGATGAGTTTATATAAATGTTTTTCTAGCAAGAAATGTATCTCAATATCAGATCAGTTTAGATGGTTTAACTGAATGTTGGCAATAAAGAATGTATAATTGACTTTTTAAGAAACAGTATCTTTATTCGCTCACACCCACCTTTGTCAAACGTATATTTTGAAGACAGGGAAATGGTTGTAGGTTGTAATTAAAATTATTCTCATTTTTGACCATCCCACATTATTTACTTAATAAGTAAATGTAACAAAAGGCTGCAACATGGTTCAAGTGGTTAGTCGCTGGCTTCCCACCGCGGCGGCCCAGGTTTGATCCCAGGTCTGGTCAAGTGGGATTTGTGGTGGAAAAGTGCTGGGGCAGGTTTTCTCTGAGTACTTCGGTTTCCCCTGCCAATCTTCATTCCACCAACTTCTCCATCATCATAATCATGCAGGGCAGGCTACAGGCAGGCCAATCAGTGGCCGCCGTGCCAAGTGGATCCAGTTGGACTCCACCTCCCACTAAGCGAATTAAAAAAAAATGTAACAAAAGGATATGTTTCCTGATGCTGAGGAAGCCAGTCATGAGTTGTAATGTACATTCTTGCTATCTGCTTCTTCAGAAACCTGTAATAACTATTTATTTCTAAATTAATTAGTTACTACAGTAACATTGAAAAGTATTAAATATCTCTGTTTAAATATTTTGAAGTTTCTGTGGCAGTGATTGTTCAGACTTTGTTCTGGGTTTTTACATTTTGTAGTATTATAGGTGATACTGAAATTTCAGAGGAAATGGCCATCCTTTCTCAACCTGTGACAAAAGAACTTATTGGCCCTTTGTAAGGGCCATTCACTATCCATGCTAATAGCCCAGACTGAGTTCCTTTTTTACTACCTCGCCTTGGGTCACATGACAGCCTTAATTGCAAGCTGTACATGTAGCTAATCTAATTCCTAGACATTTGCACTTCAAACCTGAAGACGGGAGACTGTATGTTTCCCCAGTATCCACCTCCAAGACTACATGATGTCACAGTCCAGAAGTCCACAGTTTCAATCCCCATTTTATATAAGTGAGTACAGAAACATGGGAGGTTAACATTTCTCTTTTAATTTGTGTGTTAAATATACAGGGAACATTCATTAGCTTCTTTAGGTCCGCTACCAAAAGTAACTTCTATATGGGAGAGTTGACAACACTGCTATCACAATCATGCTATGCAGCTACCACTGTATCTTATGATGACTGATGCGTTCTGCAAAAGCGTCACTTGTTAAATGTTGACATTCATTCAGCATATTCACTCTGTCCCTTTAGAACAGCTGCATGAATTTACTGGATAAACGTTGCATTTCATTTTCTTACGATTTTTCTAAGTCCCTGACCTAAACTGAGATTACAAAATGATCTTAATAGTGGTGGAAGCTCATGATAGCTTCGTACGTTAATTTTTTTTATCTTTACAGATCGTTTGATGAGCCGACCATGTCCCTTGTGCGCCAAAATAATATCGAACAAATCGAATCTTCAGAAACATATGAAGATAGTACATAGCAACCTATGTAAGCAACAGAGGTGCCTCTTATGTGAGAGAGTTTTCAAAAACAAATACAGCCTGAAGGCTCATATGTACACTTACCACAGAGAAACTGTGACAAAATAAATACATAGGACACAGGTGATATGAGTTTGTGATATACTTTTATGCCATTTCTTTGCCTTTAGTCAGTTAACCAAGAATTGCTTCTGAACATGAATATCTATAGTATTGTATTCTGTTGTAAGTGAAACAAACTTGACAGATCTGTGCAAAATGATAAACTGCGTAAGATAACAAACTATATTAGACCTAAGAGATCCCAGATTTTTTCAATTTATCATAAACAGAACAGTACAGATTTTCTATCTGTGATGTTTCGTTTTTAAAACTGTAACTTACACTTTAAACAGTAATGTTTAATAAATACGGTTGCTTTGATATATTTTATCATTATTGAATCATACAACAGCTGGAGATCCTATCATAATACTGTTTCATTATGTATGACCTTAGTGTTGTTATTGTGAATTTAATTTCATACATTAGATAAAAAGAGAATCACAAGCTATCAACTGTGGCAGGCAGGTGTATCCATAGACAAACGTAAAATACGTATTTGAATCTCACTGAGAACTTGCCAAGCAGGACAAGGGAGTAAAATGCGAGAGTAATGAGGAAAATGTTCTTTCACACTGGTAGCTGGAACTTGAATGCTTGGTATTCTTTATGTGTTTTAAGTGCCTCACAAAGTATACAGTGGCAGTCATTGTGTTTTTTTCTATCTTAGTTTCTAAGAATGCTCTCAGAACTGCATATATTACGTAGTGATGGGTGGGAGGATGTTTATTTATAATGAAGGAAGAGGAATGTTGAGGAAAGGGTCCCAGGTTATTGTAAAGGTCTGTATTAGCATTTCCCTGGAGAGACTAACTGAGGTAAACTTTGTTTGGAATAGCCAACCTTCAGGTTAGGAATCAAACCTCCTTGTGATATTCAATAGATATTGTGATAACAGTATCAGGTTAATTATTTATTGAAATAACTTTTCAGGAAATACCCTATTAAGTTAAGAGGTTCAGAGTTTGTAATGTTGTTTTAGAAAATTACAGGAATGTGGGTAAGGAACTTGTGTTATAATTCATTTCAGGTTTTGGTCTGTGTAAACGAATAAGGTAATATGTCTCTGTATTACACTGACAGTTATGTGTAAAGTTTATTTATTTATGATTCATTGAATGACATTGTCAATGTGTTTGACTGTATATGTGTTGAATGATATGATGGTTTTGATGATACTGATGTGCCCAGTGAATGTATGTTCCCTGTTTTCATTTGTTATGATTCAATAATTTTATCATCAAGACTTGTCTTACTCTTTCCATGGTCTCTCTTGATTCCTTAATTGCATCTGAATAAGCTTTTAATGGCTTCAGATTTCAAATGACATAGTTGTCATTAATTTTTTAATAACTTAGGTAGGCCTACTTTATTCCATTTGAAGTGTATCTTATTTAACCAATTAATTTATAAACTATTAATTCAGCAGAAAATAAGTACTCATAGATGTTAATTCATTAATAATTTTTTAAGTCATTACTGATATTGTAACCTTAATAGATGATCATCTGACATCAGTGTAAATTTGGTAGGGGTTGACAGAGATGAATTCACTGATTAGCAAAGATGGCAGTATTTTCTTTTAACCACCTCAATAATATGCCATCGTATGGTTCCAATATCAAACCTCTACTCCATTAATTAAACTGATAGAGGACGAGTGGCTAAAATCAAAATGTTTGGCAGAAGGGAGACCAAATTATAAAGTGAAATAGAAAGAAGGTAGAATATGAATATAGATCTTGCAGATGATGTGATAATGTGGTTAGAATTATATTGAACTGGATTAAAATCTGTTGCCAGAATTTTTTGCAGTGAGTAAGCTTCAGGTTGAAATTGAGTTTTAAAAATGGCTGCAAGAAACTGAAAGGTCCATTCCTCTTAATACATTTATAATTACTGCCTTGTTGCCTGTTCCTTTCATACCTGCAATGTTGCTGTTTATGTTAGAATTATAAGGAACTTCAGCTACTGGATTGACATCAATGTGCCATCTTTATTTGAGGTAAGTATTGAGTTTTGAATGTACTGTATAGCTTTTAAGGCTTCTTTCAAGTCTCTTAATTATAATTGTGAAGTAAAGCATGTGAATTTTATAATGTACTATTTTGTAGTTTCTTGTATTGTAATTACAACTATTTTAAAAGAATTATAAAGATAAATATCTATTACAGGATGGACCACCCTAAACATATGTGTTGCAAAGTCAAAGACAACATAATATGTAAATAGCATACCTTCCCACTTGCACCTACCAAGATTAAAAAAAATATATCTTTGGTAATTGCAGTTACAACTATCTAAGTTGTAACTTAAATACCAAATTTCAAGAACTTTATGTTTCCATTTAACCATAACTGTAATCAGTCCTTAAAATGATTCTGAAATTAAGCTACTTAAATGCCATGGTCTCACTGTCCATTATGGTTGTGAACTCTCTCATTTTTTTCTGTTATACAAAGCTTTACCATGAAGTTTTTAAGGAATGAATGTCACACTTAAATGAGGCCCATATAAATGACTTATTTATGTGTTGAAAAGCTTTAAGCATAAATGATTGACAACAAATGTAGGGTTAGGATGATAGGAAGGTGTGTTGACATTGTCAAATAAAGTTTGTAATAAATGAGTGAATCCCTGCTGTTTGTGTTTGACCAGACTTCACAGATGCGCTCATACACAAGTGTTTAGTACAAAAATATGATGTAAATTGTGCATTATGTTTTTAGGTGGAAGTTTCAAGGAACGTAGCAACATGGAAGAAATATTTGGCATTCATTTGTGGACTTCAAACAGAACACATGATGCTTCAAACTTGAGTATCCTGAATGAATCTGTGAGCATTGTGAACAGGAGATTAAGCTTAAAACAGAGATCAAATTCAGCTGATGAGCAACTTTCCCATGAAAGTACGAGTCAGGGTGTAGTATTAGGCTCGGAGTTACAGCCTGCATACAGTGTAGTGGACCGGAGCCAATACCATGCTGCTGCTTCTCACTCCAAGCATTCAGTATATCAGCAACGGAAGCATTCATGGAGATCTCGAAGACCTGTCCAGTGCCCCAATTGCCAGAAGATCATTACAATGGCCTATAATTTGAAGAGCCATCTGTCAACATGTCTTAAGAGAAATGGGTTACGTAATAAAGTAGAAGTAAAGTATGAGTGATAATTAATATGAGAAGTCAGACATGTTGTATGAATTTGTATGGTGGTGTATTCCATGTAACAGGTGTTACCATTGTGTTAGCCTACATTGGTTTACATTGGTAATCCTGACTTGTGTTTTGGTGTATTTGGTTTGAATCTCTGACACAGAGTTAACTGTCCTATCAGAAGTGTTTATGGTTTTCCACAGTCGCTCCAGGAGATTAGGTAGTAACTTGAGAATGGCTGGTACTTTCAGATCCTTCTCTACTTGCCATTCATGATTGCCATCTCATTATGTTTGACATTTTGTGTTCACTTCATATGAAGTAAGATTGAACTCCTCGGTGAAGATATTTCCATACAGAACTTCCTTCCACAGTTGCANTAACTTGAGAATGGCTGGTACTTTCAGATCCTTCTCTACTTGCCATCTCATTATGTTTGACAATTTGTGTTCACTTCATATGAAGTAAGATTGAACTCCTCAGTGAAGATATTTCCATAAAGAACTTCCTTCCACGGTTGCGTACATTTCTCTTCTTATGGAATTGATATTCCTCCATAATACGTAGATCAGAATACAAGTATTTCGTTTCTGTATGGAACCTAGAGTAATGGTTTTCACATGTTGGAAACATGCTGATGTGTTCCCATATAAATCACTTACATCATTCAGGAAATGTTGGTGGTTGTGATATTTTGTTCCATCATCTTACAGATAAATCCAACCTTAAGAATTTCTTTTCTCCACAGGATTTCCCACTTTTCTAAGTGTCAAGCATAACATGTTGAGCAACATTGGTGAAACTCCAACCTCAAGAAGACTCCTGTCTTCTGGGACATAATGCCTTTCTCTTGTCTCGTCTTCATTGTATTCTTCTTTTTCTTTGAACTTTCTTTAGTGGAATTTCCTGTTATCTGATTTTGTCCTTATGTAGCAAACTTACAGGAGCTTGGAGAGCGTGTTTGGTATAGAAACTGGCTATGGCCTGGACAGCCAAGGGGCTGGAGTTTGAGCCACAGTGGGGGTAAGATTGTTCTTCTCTCCACATCATCCAGATGGGTTCTAGGGCCCATTCATCTTCCTATCCAGTGGGTACCAGGCGCTTTTCCATGGGGTAGAGCAGTGGGGGAGTGAAGCTGACTGCTCACCAACTAGTGCTCAAGAATATGTGGATTTGTACATCCAGTTCCCTACATGTCTTCATGGCACATAGCTTGATTACTTAAACACAGGCACAACTTTACTTTTACCTGCAGGAAACTTGTAATAATTAATAAAATTTTATTTTTTCACTGTTGTCCATGTTTCAAAAGCATTTTTTCTTGCGGCTGCACAGAAACTTCATCTCGTTAGCAGTGATTACTTTACCTCGAGTCCCTTCAGGTTTTTCTTTCGCATTTACTTGAGTCTCTTCTACTCTTTCAAGAGACACCACTGTTTAGTTTTCTATTCTTTTTTTTTTTCTTAGTGTACAGCAGACTTTTCACCATTAACATTACTGGCAGCAACCTCTTTCCTCTTGTTTTCTATTTTCTGTCACCTGCATAGGTCATAAAATTGGATGAATGATGAGTTTGGATGGAGGCACTAATTTAAGTGAAACATTTTGTCAGAGAAAGTGAGAAAACCAAAGAAATTAACAATGTGGTTGGCCTTCAAGCAAAGATTCAAACCAATGACTTCGAAAATGTGAACATAAATACAGTGCCTCATTTGGGTGCACAACATTAAACATGAAACTTGAACATTCACAACTAATAAATTCCGTTGTTTCTTGCACACCTTGATGTAAGTGTTGTAATGTTACATGTTCTTTTATAGCAAAATAAACTGGAAACAGAGATTATTCAGTTCTTCAATTGAAAATTTTGAGAAAATATGTCAGGCAAAATACACCTTGAGATAATTGAAAGAAACTGTTCTAATTATTATGTTCACTGCCTTGGAGTTGGTATTGCAGCTCTCTGCCGATGATGTATTAACTTAATTTAAAAAACAATTCACACATGTGATGTATTTTATGTTCAATAAGTTTGTGTTGTCTGTATGTTAGTAGCATTAATTAAATAATTAATAGCCGGCCACTGTGGACTGACCTTTCCTGGTTAAAAGTTTTTTCAGCCCTTCAACTATATGTAAGAAGCATATTTAGTGGCAGTATTAAACAAAAGTTTCCGAGTTTTGTACATGTTAGGAAGACTGTTTGCAGATGCGTGCTTATACAGAACTGTGTAAATTTAGTGATTTTCGTGGGATGCATTGAAGAAAGAAATATTCTTTCCTTTTATTAGTTTATTTTTAGAAAAATATTCAGAATTTATTGATGGATATAAATATTTTTAAATTTAATATTCCACTTCTTTTTCAGTGTGTTTTCTGTTAAGTTTTTTGTTCAGTTCTCTGATGAGCCATTCAGTAAATAAGCAAGCCAGACACCCTGATAGACATACAGAAAGAATATTATCTTCTGGTGATATAATCTACGAAGGCAAATCAAAAAGTCTTTGCCCCTATTATTTTTCATCCACAATAATGCACATACAGGGAAATCAAAATACTGGTAGTGTTCTAAGTACCTTTGACTATTTTTCCACATAGTCACCACCCCGGTTCAGGCATTTGTCGCATCACACCACTAGTTTGGAGATGCCACTGTTGTAGAATTTGGCCAGTTGAATGCGGAACCACTGCTGGACAGTGGTTTTCACGTCACCGGAAATGAACCTCTGGCCTGCCAGGAACTTCTTCAGTGGACCAAATACATGGTAATCACTGGGGGCAAGGTCTGGACTATACGGTGCTTGCTCCATAATCTCCCATCCGAATGACTACCGTCGAATAGTGGTCCTGTTTGCCACATGAGGCCTGGCATTGTCATGGAGGAGAATCACATTGTCCACGGGAATCCCCGGGCACGACTGCAGTCATTCGGATTGGAGATTATGGAGCAATCACCCCCAGTGATTACCACATGTTTGGTCCACTGAAGAAGTTCCTGGCAGGCCAGAGGTTCATTTCCGATGACGACGCGAAAACCGCTGTCTGGTGGTGGTTCCACGCTCAACCAGGCAAATTCTACAACAGCGGCATCTCACAACTGGTGGTGTGATGGGACGAATACCTGAACCGGGGTGGTGACTATGTGGAAAAATAGTGAAAGGTACTTAGAACACTGCCTATATTTTGATTTTCCTGTATGTGTATTATTGTGGCTGAAAAAGATTAGGGGCAAAGACTTGTCAGTTTGCCTTCGTATTTTGTGGTAACAGTACTTCATAAAGATAGAAAGAAATAGATGAGGATGTTGTGGTTATGTGGACCTGCAGTTTAACTGGTATTCTGCACATTCACAGAGCTTTGATTATTGTAGAAGCAATGGGACCTGCTCAACTTCTACAGTAAACATTTAGTAGCACAGAAAATTTTGAAAGAGCTTACTTGAACATTTAGTTCCTTGTATTCAGTGTAGAATGTCTGTCCATCAGTCTTCATATTTCATTTCACAGACCATAAATGGTACAAGGCCTCATACACGTGAGTTTTTATTAATTTAATGTTTTCTTAGCTCTCATAGATGGTTTATGCTATGCTTGGCTCGTATGGCCCATCTTGGTGCTGGTACAGGTGTCTGGAGGTAGGGACTAGCTCTGTCGATTAGGCCCAACTGAGTAGGTTTTACCTGAAGATAGTGACAGAATCCAGTCTTTGAAATGTGTTTTGTAATATAAACAGGATGGTGTTTTTAGGTAAAGACAGGACAATGGATAATGTCCAGAAACATGTTATTTGTACTAATGTACCATTGTCACAAACTTTTAGACCTTATTTATCCTAAATGGGTTTGGTTTTGACAACATACTGAATAGAATATCTGCATTAAAAGTTGGCAGACAAATTTTATTTTTACCTGTATTGACACCTTTCTTTATATGAA